GCTGTACTTCTTCCAAGACAGATTTATTTGTTCTTTGGCAGTCCATGGTGTATTCAGTATTCTTCACCAACACCATAATTCAAATGCATCAGTTCTCCTTTGGTCTTCCTTATTCATTGTCCAATTTTCACATGCATGTAAGGTGACTAACAATACCATGGCTTGGGTCAGGCACACCTTAGTATTCAAAGTGACGTCTTTGCTCTTTAACACTTTCTAGAGGTCTTATATAGCAGATTTGCCCAATGAAAAATGTCATTTGATTTTTTGACTGTTGCTTCCATGGACATTGATTGTAGATGCAAGTAAAATGGAATCACTGACAGCTTCAATCTTTTCTCCATTTATCATGAAGTTGTTTATTGGTTCAGTTGTGATGATTTTTGTTTTCCCTATATTCAGGTGTAATCCATATTGAAGGCTTACTCTTTGATCTTCATCAGTAAGTGCATCAAGTCTTCTTTACTTTCAGCAAGCAAGGTTGTGTCAGCTGCACATTACAGGCTGTTAATCAGTCTTCCTCTAATCCTGATGCTATGTTCTTCTTCATATAATCTGGCTTTTTAAATTATTAGCCCAGTACACAGACTGAATAAGTATGGTGAAAAGATACAACTGTAACACACACCTTTCTTGATTTTAAACCATGAAGTATCCCCTTGTTCTTTTTAAAAATATTTTTTGATTTGGGTAAAATTTTACAAAGCAGATTCATTATGCATTCAACAGTTCAAATACACTTTGTTTTATGACACTGACTACAATCCCCACAATGTAATAATAGTTCTCCTCCCTCTTCCTCCCTGTTGTTACCCTTTCCCTATGTCCTTCTTACCTATGCATTCCTCTTTAACTTTCTCTTTGTGCAAAGGCTGTCCTTCTGATCTGTAGTTGATTATTTTAAGGAATCCATCTCCCTAATGTAGTTGTTCAGCTCATAGGCCTGTATATTGTTTGGCTGAAGATTAAGTCAAGGGAGTGAGTTCCATTACAGGCCCAAGCGTGAATAGGTGCCATAATCTCAGGGGTTTTTCCAGTCCCTATCCAACAATTTTTATGCTTTTGAATGTTGTTCCATACTTTTTCTGCCACTCTGTCTATGATCCAATTCTGATTCCTTTTCAAGTAGTTGGCATTGGTAGCCAGCCAGACACCATATAGCTCTTCTGGTCTCAGAGTCATGTAGGCTGAGCTTCCCATGGTCCATTAGCCCCTTGAACTAATTGTTTCCATGCATCTTTGATTTTCTTATCTCTTCTTTGTGCCGGACGAGGAGAGACCAACAGTTGCACTCACAAACTTTTAAAACCTGTCACTACTCACCAAAGTAGGATAAAGAACCATGTTTTTGTGTGCTGTTTTGTGCCAATTGAGCTTTATATTCCCCACAACCATGGTCCCAAGCCAACAGGCCCAACAACCTACTCCCTCAAGGTGCTTGATTGTGTTTAAGTTATCTTAACTTTGTCACCTGTTAGCTCTATAATGTATAGGACATTTTTATAGTACATACAAATATATATGTGCCAAACCTATGTATGGTCATGGGTATATTTTTGGTCACCTACTCATGCCTGATCTTTTTGCCTGTCTACTTATGTATATACTTGTAGATTAGTGTTTGTTATTACTGAGTAACCCCTTGTACTGTTCAAATAACTGCCTCTTGGTGTATGTATAGGCACCTCATGAGCACAATTAAGTGTTTTTGGAATTCCCATTCTTTGTAATGTTATCCATAATTTGTTATGATCCACTCAGTTGGATGCCTTTGCATAGATGATAAAAGAGAGGTAAACATCTCTCTGGTATTCTCTGCTTTCAGCAAAGATCCATCTGACATCTGTCCTCTTCTGAATCCAGCTTGAATTTCTGGCAGTTCCCTGTCGATGTACTGCTACAACCATGTTAAAATTATTTTCAGCAAAATTTTATTTGCATGTTATATTAATTATATTATTCAATAATTTCCACAGTCTGTTGGATCACCTTTCTTTGGAATGGGCACAAATATACATCTCTTCCAGTTGGTTGGCCAGGTGGCTTTCTTCCAATTTCTTGGCATAAATGAGTGAGCACTTCCAGTGTTGTATCCATTTGCTGACGTATCTCAATATGTATTCCATCAATTCCTGGAGCCTTGTTTTTTCTCCAGTTTCTTTAGTGCAACTTGGACTTCTTCCTTCAGTACCATTGTGATCATAGGCTACCTCCTGAAATGATTAGATGTCGACCAATTCTTTTTGTACGGTGACTCTCTGTATTCCTTCCATCTTCTTTTGATGCTTCCTGCATTATTCAATATTGGAGCTTCATTAGAGAGACCTTTTTACCTAGGATGACTCCTGGGAAGATATGAGATGGATCAGCTTCAAAGAGCTTGTGCTTGGTATCAAGACTCTAGGCCTTCAATGCCTTAGGGGCTGCCAAAGGAAATGTGCCTTTGAATTCCATTCATCTGACACCAAAAAAATGTTAACAAATAAGATCATGTACTCTATTAAAATAAAAGAAAAGAGTTTTATTGAAAGTTCAAATCAGTTTGAACTGGGGGCACATCTGATCTCACAAAGTGCAGTCAAACACTCCAAAGTGGTGAAGTAACAGAGGGATATTTATGAGGTAAAATCAAGAATTAAAAGTACAACATTGTGATTGGAAGTTAACAAGATCAGGAAAGCTGGAGGTGGGAGGGGGACAACTTGAAGTGGGAGATATACATGATTGGTTGCAAACACGAATGTGGGCTATTTGGATTGGTTAGTGTAAATATTGGCTAAAGGGGGTTTGAGAGGGTGGTTAGAAAACATCTTAAAACATTTCTGATAAGGATCTTGTGTCAAGACCCTCCTTTAGGAACATTTTTTCTGTATCTTTAGTTTAACCACAGAGCAAAATGTGGTACTTACATCTGTCTAAGGCTTTGACAGTTGCAGGGAAATAAGCAAAGGCTAAGATGGAGTTGGTGCTCAGACCTGGGCCTATCATTCTGATACGAGTGAAGCATCTGAAATTTTGGAACTGTCACACATTCTGAAATATTTTTTACTGGGGAAAATATGACAACACCAACCAAGGGGGGGAAAAAAAAGCATAATTTTAATCACTCATAATTCCACCACCTTAAACAACTTTTGACATTTTTATGGCTTATTTTTAACAGAGATGTCTATTTTTTTTTTTGTTGTTGTTGTTGTTATGTGCCGTGGAGTCGGCCCCGACTCATAGCGACCCCTCCTTGGGTTTCCGAGGCAGTATCACTACGGAAGTAGGATTGCCCAACCTTCCGTCTATTTTTTAGAGTGTTTTAATCATACTTAAGTTATTTATTTATTTATTTATTTATTTTTTATTGTGATTTGGGTGAAGATTTACAGAGCAAATTCACTTTCCATACAGCAGTTCACATACACTTTGTCTCATGACATTGACCACAGTTTACCACAATGCAACAGCTCCCCTCCCACTTCCTCCCCATAGTTACCCCTTCCCAGTGTTCATCCCTCCATACACTCCTGCCCCCTGAGCTGTCTCCCTGTGCACAAGCAGCCCTCCCCTCTCCCATGATTGTTCTCTCCAAGGAGTGTATCTACCTGAGGCAAATGTTCAACTCATATGTTAGGCGATTTTTTTTCAAAAGCATGTGTGTTTTTAAGCAAATGATTAAAAAAAACTCCAAGCACCAGAAAAATATCAGGGTATATAGGCTGGAAGGAAAAGGTTCAATTCCCAGAATTCTCCCCTGAGAAGGTTATAGATTTATGAGGAAGAACAAAAGAAAGCTGTTGAAATTGGGCTCAGCTTTAAACTTGTGCACTTTCACTGCATGAGTCTGGGTTGCTAAGAAATGGATGTTGGTGCTGGGCCTCCCTCTATGGAGAGCTGGAGAGCTGGGGGCAACATTGTGGCACATCCCTGGCAGGAAGACTGCTTGGGGAACCCTAGCACTGAGGGAGGGGTTGGAGAGTCTGCCCCACCCCCATCTAGAAAAAGGAAGCAGAAAAGGGAGAAACAGTAGCAGTGACTACACTTCCTTTATGTCTCACTCCAGGGACATTACAGATAGCAGAAAGCAGCTCTATGGAGAAGAAAACCAAAGAAAAGGAACTTTCTACCACAGTCTAATAACAGCAAGGTAATTTTAATTTTCACTCTTTTACTCCTGGCATGAGGAATGAGAGAGGTGTCTTATTTTCCTCCAAGAGCAGCTGAAAAATACTCCTAGAGGTGAGATATATTTTCATCTATCCCAGCCATGTTTCCCCTAACCTAGAGACAGGTCTTAAATCTTAAATTTTGGGATTCTTTAAAAACTTGTGTAGTGTGCTAATTTACCTTGGTAAGACAATGGGAGAAACCACTTTGCTCTAACTCATAAATTTTCACCAGGCAATATTGCAGTGAATAGTCACTGTTTACAGGACATAGTACTGGTCCTGTGGAGGGTTCCAAAGGCTGAAGAAGCTATTATAAGTTGGACTGTCCTGTTCACTTTGTGCACTGGACCCTTGATACCTACCATTACATGGTTTAGTTGTTGTTGTTGTTATGTGCCATCGAGTCGGACCCGACTCATAGCGACCCCTGTTTAGGTGTATAGGTAGAAATTAGAGGCTAGAAGTCACAGACTAGCAACAATTGAAGACCTCTTTCTGTCATTTCTACTGAACTAGATATGCCTAACTGGAACTTCATTGTTCTTCCTTACTTTAACTACCAAGGCATGTGAGCCCACATTCTGTATTCTGGTAGGTTCTACACTCTTCTCTGAAGCAGGGCCTCTCTAGATAGGTCAGCTGATGGTGACTCTTGCATGCCCTTACTTCCTGGCCTCAAAACCCATGTCTGAGTTTGAAACCTGACATTGTAAAGGCTCGTCCTTCTTTGGAAGTAGATGTTCTTCCGTGTTCCTGCATGAATTTGTGTTTCTTCAAAAAAAAAAAAAAAATGGCTGATGTATACACCTGGTCTTTCTCCCCTAGGGTTTAGCAGTGGCCACCATGGGCTCTGTGAATTCTAGAGGTCACAAGGCAGAAGTTCAGGTAGTGATGATGGGCCTTGACTCAGCAGGCAAGACGACACTCCTGTACAAACTGAAGGGCCATGAGCTGGTGGAAACCCTGCCCACTATTGGCTTTAATGTGGAACCTCTCAAAGCTCCTGGACACCTATCTCTGACTCTCTGGGATGTGGGAGGGCAGACTCAGCTCAGGGCCAGCTGGAAGGACTATCTGGAAGGTGTGAATATTCTTGTGTATGTGCTGGACAGCACAGATGAAACCCGTCTGCCTGAGGCAGTGGTTGAGCTTTGGGAAGTGCTGGACAGCCCCAACATGGCCAGAGTCCCCTTTCTGGTGCTGGCCAACAAGCAGGATGCACCTGATGCTCTACCATTGCCGGAGATCAGAGACAGGCTGGGCTTGGAGAGATACCAGGACCACTGCTGGGAGCTCCGAGCCTGCAGTGCCCTCACTGGTGAGGGGTTGCCAGAAGCCCTGCAGAGTCTGAAGAGCCTCCTGACGTCCCGCAGCCACCTATGTCTCTAGGCAGGGAGTAAGGAGAGCAAGAAATCTTGACTGAAATAGAGCAGCTTAACTTTGCTCATATGAATGGGAGGAACCAGCTAATTCTTGAGAAACTTAAACTTAGCTTATCAAATAAGAAATCCTTCTGATTAAATTATCAGGATTTATTCTCTCTGGTGTTTATGTGGAAAATCAATTACTATTTGAATAATAATATTCTTAGGGGAAAAAAAAAGAAAAGAAAACCTCAACATGCTCTATTTAATAACTCATTACCAAGAATGACCTAAGCAATTGTAATAATAGAGCAACTAGTGATTCATCTCATGTACTTTGGACATGTTATCAAGAAGGATGCGCCCGTGTTGCATTGTGGGAAATTGCAGTCAGTGCCATGAGACAAAGTGTATGTGATCTGCTGCATGGAAAATGAATTTGCTTTGTAAACTCTCACCCAAATCACAATAGAAATTTTAAAAAAAGAGGGAAAAAAAAGATCAAAATAACCATTGGAAGGATATTTGGAAGTCTTTAGAATAGAGATACTTCAAAGATATGGCGAAAATCATGAAAATCATATGCAAAACTGCTTGTATTTATATATAAACTTCTTTATCAGCAAAAAAAAGAAAAGAAAAAAAGAAGAAGAAGAAGGATGAGCCCATGGAGAAGGACATCATGCTTGATAAAATACTAAAAAAAAAAAAAAAAAACCCAGAGAAAAAGAAGTCCCCCAGAGAGATGGATTGACACAGTGGCTGCCAACGGTGGGTTCAAATACAGCAAGGACTGTGAGGACAGCGCAGGATTGGACAAGTTTCATTCTGTTGAACATAGGGTCACTATGAGTCACAGCCAACTCAGCGGCACCTAACAACAAAAACAGTACTTCCATTATAATCAAGACCTAAACTGACAGAGGAAAAGAGGTTCCAGAATCAAATTAGAATATCATCTGGATGCGATTTCAATTGCTGTGATTTTCTCTGGTGGCCTCTGGGTTTGTGTGCAAGTAACAGGGTTCAGAAGAAGTGGGCAGGAGAGCCTGCCGACACAGAATCTGGGGTTTGCAGCATCACTGAAGAACTCAGCCCTAGGCAAAGAGCTGGGAGTAAGGCTTCCAAAATGTACCCTTTTCTTTGGTCCTGCTTAACTCTGTCTACCCTTTTGTCATCTGTTGTTGATCTTTTTTTTTTTTTTTTATCCTTAATCTTTTTTCTTTTATTCTTCTCTTTTCTCCTTCTTGTAGCACATATCTTCCCTTAAAAATCAGATTAATCAATTGTTTAATTCATTTATTCTGTGAGTTCAGTGGCAAAAGGTACTGAGTTTATAGATATGAACCAAGCATTGTAGATGGGAGGTATGAATTCTGAAAACATTGTTATTAAAGTTTTTTAAAAAAGAAAAGTTGAACATAGTGTCTTAGAAGGTTTTTGTTATGATCTTAAAACATAGGATCCAAAAAGCTCCTGAAATTATTTGCAAAATACATGCCTTGGGCCATTTTTCTAGGAAGAGGATTCATAACTTTTACCAGATTTTCAAAGGCATTTGTGACTCCCAAAAGTCAAGAATCACTGATTTGGTTTTGTCCCTCATCCAACTCAGGAATACTTCCTACAATCTGAATTTTTAATAGTGAGGAGCTGACACCTGGCATCTGTTCAGATGTAAAACAGCTCTAAATGTTGGATATTCTTTCCTATCCTAGATTAAAATCAGCCTCCTTCACTCTTTGTTGTGGTTCTGTCTTCTCTGGAGTAACAGAATGTAAGGTGCCCCTTGCTGCCCTTCTAACATCTAAGATCTGCCAGGTCCCTCTCTCCAGTCTTCCCATTTCATTAAGGTTAGACACGCCCAGTTTTTTCCACTACTTGTTATATGACATGTTTCAAGACTTTCTTTGTTGTTGTTATTAGGTGTCATTGAGTCGGTTCCAACTCATAGTGACCCTATGTACAACAGAATGACACACTGCCCGGTCCTGCACCCTCCTCATAATTATTGCTGTTTTTGAGCCCATTGTTGCAGCCACTGTCAATCCATCTTGTTGAGGGGCTTTTTTACTGACCCTCTACTTTAACAAGTGTGATGTTCTTCTCCAGGGACTAGTCCCTCCTGATAACATGTCCAAAGGACATGAGACAAAGTCTTGCTATCCTAACTTCTAAGGAGCATTCTAGCTATCCTTCTTCTGAGACAGATTTGTTCATTCTTCTGGCTGTTGTTGTTGTTGTTGCTATGTGCCATCGAGTCGGACCCAACTCATAGCGACCCCTCCTTGGGTTTCTGAGGCAGTATCACTACGGAAGTAGATTGCCCCATCTTCCTTCCGAGGAGTGGTTGGTGGGTTTGAACCGCCAGCCTTCTGGTTAGCAGTCAAGTGCCTTAGACACTATGCTACCAGAGCTCCCAGCTCATGGTATATTCAATATCTTTACCAACACCATAATTCAAATGCATCAATTCCTTACTTATTATCCAGCTTTCACATACATATGAGAAGATTGAAAATACCATGGCTTATGTCAGGTGTACTTTAGTCTTGTATGTTACACACTAAGAATACAAAGATCAATAAGACAAAGCTTCAGACCTCATGAAACTCTGGTGGGGGAAGCATAACTCTCACAAAAATTCAGTAACAGAGGTTCAATTCAGCAATTGTTCATTGAGCACTTACTTGGAGCCGGGCTCTGTGCTCCGTGCTTTATGTAGAGTACCTCTAATTCTCACAACTCTGTTCAGTAGATATTATTCTCATTTTATTCAATTAGAAACCAAGGTTCTCTGAGAAGTTAACTATTAAGTGCTATATCTGGAATTTGAAACCAATTATGTCTAGCTCCAATGCCTGCATTCTTCCACCACAGCATGCCGCTGCAGTAAAACCTGTGAAAGCCAGAATCTGTGTAAGGTGGAAACCTGTCAGAGAAGGAAAACTCAAATATCCCCCACTAATAGAGAACAACAGAAACGTAGTTAAGACTCCAACCTGCCAAAGATAGAAAACTTCTGAGACCTGGAAAAACAAGGTAGTTCCATTGAGTTCCAGCTCGCATGGATTCAAGCTAGGGTAGACTTCAGTCAGAGTCCCTGGGAGGTGCAGATGATTAAGAAGTGGACTACTAACTAAAATACTAGCGGTTTGAACTAACCCAAAGGTGCCTTGGAAGAAAGACCTGGTGATTTGCTCCTGAAAGGTCACAGCTGTGGAAATCTTATACCTCACAATTCTACTCTGAAACACATGGGATCACTGTGGGTCAGCATGACTCTATGGCAACTGGCAGACCTACAGTCTGCAGATATGCTGGTCAGCCTAGTCAGAGGGAAGAGATTACTTGGAAACATGAAGGAGAGTGTAGGAAGGATAAGTAAGTAGTGAACCTGAAATAGGGGATTGGGGTAAGAGGTGAATGAGGGCAGAGTTATAATAGGAAACTAACAGTAGGGGAAGGCTGTTTGGTCTTTCATAATCAGAAGCTTGGATCAGGGAAGTGTGGTTTCTGTTTTCATTTCTATCACATGAGGATTTGTCATTCAGGAAGACAATCTAGTGCAAGTAGAAGAAAGTGAAGGGTGAATGCTGGGAGACCAGCAAGACGATCACTGCAGTAACAGAAGAGAGGAGGAGGAAGAGAGATAAGAAAATTAGGAGCCAGTTTTAAAGCAAAAAGTTTAGGAGAGAAGAATTTGAAGAAGGCTCAAAATTTTGAGTCTGAGTGACTAGAGAGATGGGAATGCCATGAACTGAGAAGGCTGACACAGGAGGAACAGAGTGGGACAGGGGTAGGAACTGATGAGTCCTATTTCTGAAATGTTGGAGTCCCGGCCCCTATACTTATGAATGAAATCCCGTTTGGAAGTAGGGTTTTGCTATATTGATAAGGCCACATCAGCGTAGGGTGTATTCTAAACCCTTCTGAGTGAAATACAAAGTAGCATAGATACAGAGCAAGTAAGCAGACATGGGGTGGGTTGGAAGGGGCAGATGATTTCTGACGGCAGGAGGATGAATCCACAAATCCGGGAACTCTAAGGATTGCCCGGTACTGGAAGGTTGCGCAATCTACTTCCGTAGTGATCCCGCCTCGGAAACCCAAGGAGTAGATCCGACTCTGCAGCACACAACAACAACAAACAGAAGCTGAAATAGACGGGAAAGGATTCGAACCACACCCTGAATTCAGACTTCTTGCCTCCAGAACTGTGAGAAAATGAATTTCTATTCTTTACAACCATCCATTTGTGGTTTTTCTGTTACAGCAAAACTCAGGAACTAAGCTTCTCACACTTCCCTGAGCTTGTGGGCAGAGTTTTTTAATACCCTTCTATGGAAGGGACAGCTCTTTGATGCTCCAGCTTTTCTGCTGGGCTTAGATCAAAATTTTCTTTCCTCCAAGTCTAAGACCACAGCTCTTGTTCCCTCACAGGTGTTACAATTCAGTCCCAGACCCTAGAACCTAAATATGGCTCCGCTAAAAGTTCCACAGACTCCAGCTGTGGTTTCGCTCTTCATTTCTACCATTTGAGGATTTTCCTTTCACTTGTTCGAAGACAGCAGTTCAATAAAGAGAAAAAAAAAGTAATTATAGTTTATCCAACATTTCCATGACTCTGTGATGGGAAAGGGTCCATCTTTCATGTTGCTAGATGTGTGGAACTTGTTTTTACACGTGGGAAGAAGTCTTCCGAGGTGCGGGCAGGAGTGTGATCTGATTAGATTTGTACTTAGGATGATAACCTGGTCAGCAGGGTTGGGTGATGGGAGGATCCTGAAGCCATGGAGAGAGGGTAGACGAGTGTCTGGATTTGCCTCCTGTTCACCCTGTTGCTGAAGGAGGATTCCCCACCCTAAGTAACATTAGATGGCAAAAAAAAAAAAAAAAAACATGACAGCTGACATTGAACAATGATATTGACAATTTACTAGTCACCTGTACTCAAAGCCTGAGGAAGAAGGACATCAAACACCATGCAAGGTCACAAGGAGCATGCAATTGAGAACAGAGTAA